CAGTGCTTTGCATAAACTAAGTAGTACAATAACTAGTTACCAAAAAACTATACAATGTACAAGATACGAGTTACAAAAAATATATCTGCATATTTAAGAAGAATTTTGAATGCAATTATAAAAATGATTAACTAATGAAATTTCGAAGATTCAAATCCAGATTATTTAAAATTTTATGCCATGTAATGGTAACCAACACACTACACTTTTATTGCTGTGGCTTTTATTAAGGTGGCTACCCAACAAAGGTTTGGTTTATTTAATTATGGCAAAGCACACAAGGGTTATCTCCCTAAAGGGTATCATGGAGGGATGGCATGATGGAGGACTTCTATGAAAAACTAGCTCGTATACATGTTACGCATGGGGAAAACGACGGCCACCAAAGACAAACCAAAACTTTTCTCTTCGCGTGTTTTCAGCTTCTGTCTGTGCTGTGCTTGGACGCAATTTCGCTATGCTGTTTCCTATTGCAATAATATCAATAATGTAAATGTTCTTGCCAACTGAAGGTAGCCACATAATGTCAGTTGGAAATAAAAATGGAATTAAAATCGCCTCGACTGCCAAGTTTTCTTTACGAAGTCAATACATTAGCTTACGACGCAATCAGAACACTTCCTCTTCAATATAGGATAACTACGCATTAATAGTGTTCCGACTTTTCCTTGCTTTTATTATAACATATATATTAAGTGTAAAGAAATAAATTTACCATTACAAAAGGGAAATATTTACGTTTTTAATGTACCGAATAAAATTGCCTCTTTCACATGAAAGTTGATATTGTGAATTTCTTCAGTAGAAGAGAACAAAATTCATTGCCTTCCTTTCTTAGGTGATTTTTTATATGAAGAAAGTTTAAAAATACAAAGTTCAAAGCGAAATACTAAATTTTCAAGACTTTCAATTAAGCCTTAATACTATTGCCTATAGTGCAGAAAGACAATCCTTGAATCAAAATTCTTTTACGGCGAGAGCCAATTTGACAGGTATGAACGCAGCTGATTTCGAAAAATTAATTGATTCGACAACTGATTTCCGAGATAAAACAAAAATTTTAAATCTGTCATTAAATGATTTTTTGGATAAGTTTGTTAGAAGAATATCTGAACTTATTAAAATGAGTTACTTATCTTTTACTTCTTTTTCCGACAGCGAACTTGTAGAAGGCAAGTTTTCACATTATGTTGCAACAAAAATCCAAATGTACAAACCGACTTGATGCTGCAGCTTATAAAGAATTCACGTTTTTAACATAGTGATTAACATTAAAAAATATATAATTCGATGAAGACACATAGAAGTCATTAAAAACTAAAAATTTAATTTTTGTTTATATTATTTATTTCACTTAATTAGTTTTATGTGTCATATTTCATAAAATTAAAGAAGTTTCATTTATAAGTATGATATAATAACTTGAATCAACTTTTGTTCGTTTTATCTAATATAGCTATATTATCACTTTATTTCAACTAAAATCCCTAATTTACTCTGGTGTTCCTTAAAAATTTTAGAGTTTAAAATGCGTTACGCTATGAGAAAAGTTTGGGAAACACTGCTCTAAGATGACTACCTCTACAGAAGATTTTTAAATCATTTGGAATCAAGAATGGCCTCTTAAAAAGGATTTAATATATATATATATATATATATATATATATGATGAGCTGTATTCTCAATACGTTATCAAGCACACAATCACAATGCGCGCCGTGTATTTTGTACACAGAGAATGAATAGCCGCCATTACCGTTTCGCGTGGATGCTGACTACAGTCAGCGTTAGAATGTACAACTCAGTTACAATGAACATTTTTTTTTAAACATTTCATGTTGAAAAATCTTCCTTTTGATGTTGACTGCAGTCAGCGTTACAATGCACAACTCAAATTACAATGAATGCCAATACTTTACAATTGTTTTAGCATTTCATGTTAAAAATTTATAATACATGAGGAATGACATCCTTCATTATACATGAGGAATGACCTTCCTTTTAAATGTTACCAAATTACACTGCTCATCAAAATTAAAAGATAATGGCAGAAATAAAACGTAACTGATACTTAAAAAATTAATATGAACTTGTACAATAGCATTAGTTAAGCTAAATTACAATGTTGGCAGTTGATTATTCGCAAAATATTGAAATTATAACCAAATTTATGGAAATTGGAAAATGATGGAAAAATTAAGTCATCTCTTGTGGAAATTTTTTTTCTTAAATACTTGTGCGTGCTCATCTCGGACATATATGCATACTTCACATCTTGATTTCATAAACTTTACCAAGCTGTTGATGCATGCCACTATTCTAAAAGTACACTTTTGAGGGTAAAAGTATATTTACGGGTACCCCTTGGCGAAAACAGGCGATTTTGGGCGGTACATGGATAGAATTGCACAAACTTGGCAATGTGCACTCCCTTGACTTCGTCCCTGTACACATCGATATATTTTTACTTAAAATGTCAAAGGATCACCCAATTCTAGGTAAAAGTATATTTACGGAACATTCAACTACTCAGGTTACCATAAATGAAACAACAACTTCGCGATAATAAAAGGGGTAGCCTTCAATCTACTCTAGCCCTTCTGAGCTCCTGAAGGATCCGGGGAGAAATTTAGTGTGCTGAATTCGCCGCAATAAGGCATTCCGCCCATGCTCAATAGGGTTCAAATCGAGTGAGGCGGCCAATCCATTCGAATGGTATCTTTTATTTGCACATATTTTGACACCACAAATGCTCGATAAAGCAGAGCATTGTCATTCATTAGCAAAAATCTCGGCCAACAGCACACCTTAACAGTCTAACTTGGGGTTCCAGTAACTCGTCCACCTATCTCCGAACGGTTACAAAAACCTCCTTGAAAGATATCCAGCACAGTGCGGCCAATTGTCATGATTCCTCCCCAAACCATTAAAACGAAATCGCAGAAACGGGATATTTCACGGACAAGGGTAGGAAAGTTGCGTGTTAATTTGTCTCCCCAGATCAAAATACGTTTAGAATAACTGTTCAAACCATAGAGGTAAGAATGAACTTCCTACTTACTCACTACCTCCATGGTTCAAACTACACTCACTTCCAAAAGTTAAGCATGGAGAGGAAAATACTAATTTCTGGAAGCCAATGAGAATTGAAGAGGATGCAATTCGCTACAGAGGTAGATGGAAGTATGCAAATATGTTAAGTAACTGCCAATCGCGCTTTCATGTCAAGAAATTTGAAAAAAAGGCAGTCTTATAAGAAGCCAGCTTTATGAAGGGTTACACAAGTTGATTGCAAGTGCTGATAGAAGGTGTTTGAAACTTTCGTACAATTTGTTTTCAAGACATACGTGTTTCTATGACTTCCAGAAGACGAATGGAAGATTCTGAGCGCTGGCGTGCTGCGGGGCGCATTGAAGCAGAACAGTCGATCACAGATGTTGCTCTTTTCTTCGGCGTTCATCATTCTGTAATTTTATGTTTATGGAAACAATTCCAAACCACACAGACAGCTGTCCGAAGGCCCGTAGCCGGTCGCCCAAGGGTTACAACCCCCGCAGAAGATCGATATATTGCTATTGTAGCCAAGCGGAATCGCAGAGTGACCTCCACACGTGTGACATTATGGTTACAGCGTCCATTGGTAAGGCGATATCTGCAGCTACTGTACGTTGAAGATTACATATGAGTGGACTGTACGCCCGGGTACCTCGAGTTTGTGCTCCTCTATCCGTCCAATCAAGAGGGGCACGATTACAGTGGTGCCGGGAACATGTCAATTGGAATGTGTCTGCCTGGGCAATGTCATGTTTACTGATGAGTCAAGATTTGCTCTGGAGCCAGATTACAAGCGTATAAGGATATGGCGTGAACAACGAACACGCAATCAGTTCCAAAACATCACTGAACATCATGCATTCCGAGGAGGAAGCATTATGGTGTGGGCAGGGATTTCATTAGGATACCGCACCAACTTGCACATCTTTAAACGGGGTTCTTTGACGGCTGTCCGGTATCGAGATGAAGTCCTAGAACCCATTGTGAGGTTGTACGCTGCAGCAGTTGGCCCTCCTTTTGTTTTAATGGATGATAACACACGTCTCCATAAAGCTGACATCGTCGATGTCTACCTGGAGAGTGAAGGGATTGCGCGTATGGCGTGGCCAGCATATTCTTCCGACCTTAATCCCATTGAAAATCTTTGGGATGCTCTCGGCCGTGCTGTATCTGCATGTTTCCCACCTCCAGCCACTCTTAAGCTGCGTTCCCACTGGGGTTTATCTAAGCTAACGAACACAATTGACGTAGCCGACGCATCTCCAAAACCAGTTTTCTGGTTCTGAAAAAAAAAAAAAAAAAAAAAAAATCTGAACTGCAGGCACAGCGGAGCTAGTCGACACATGGAACTGACTCCTTTAGCTCAGATAAACCCCAGTGGGAACGGGCCTTTATTGAGCTGGAAACTGCTCTACAAGAAGAATGGCGATTGCTTAATTTTGCGGTCGTTGACCACTTAATTGAAAGCATGGTCACAAGGAGTAAACTTTGTATACAGATGGGCGGGGGTCACAAAACCTATTAATGTCCTTTTTTTCATTTTATGCTTTTTATTTTCACTTTATACATAATTCTGTTAAGTCTGCAGTATGTCATCATCTGAGAACTTACAAAAATTTAATATTGTTTTCATTTCTGTATATAATTATTGATTTTGTTTTATGCATAAATATATATGTTACTTTCCTGCCGAATTTTGTGTCAATCAAAGCAGTATTTGTTATTTTTTTTTTCATTATATTTATTTTTCATTATATTATTTTTCATTATATCATTTTAACTTTTGGAAGTGAGTGTATATATCTGGACTGTTGTTTGACTTCTGAACTAATATCTGGACTCGTCAGTAAAGAATACTCGGGCTTAGTTGTCTTGGCTCCATTTGTGGTGTAGTGGCCGAAACCGCTACGCAAACGCTGGGTTGGAATGAACTTCAAACTCAAATTTTAACAATAACATGAATTTTAATAAGATGAAAACTTTAACAGTTGCATATCTTCACAATATGGGACTTAGGTATATTTAGCCCCGTGATTTCAGAATTTTTTTACAGGAAAAATGCTCTAACGCATTATACATGAGGAATGATCGTTTTCAGCAGGCCAACATGCTATAGCTCTAAACGGGAAAATTGTCCCCTCTTCTCAGGAAACCACCTTATATATCTCCCTGTGTTTACTTGCGCTGAACTCCCAGGGGGGGTGAAGATTCTTTCACTCATACATAACAAAGTGTCCATCTCCTGACCCTGATGAAAAGATTTCTTTTATATCTTTGTCCATTGGTGTGACCCTCGAGGCTGCAACCGGAAATATTAACAAAGGCACAGGATAGCACCACTGATATGAAAACTGTTGCACTCTGAAATCACTCATCCTGACACAGTGAACATAATGACACACATTGAACATACTTGTCACGCAGTGAACATAATGACGTTACCAGTTTAAACGGGCCCCTCTGGAGGGTGGAGTGAGTGTGACAAAAACAATTGGTTTTCTTGCATACAGTCCAACCTTGTTTGGCATTAGGCATTCGTTGGGCAACATTGGACATTGGTTGCAACATAGCGAGCGTATTTTTTCTCATTTTCCCTTAGTTTTGATGACTAGTGTAAATTAACGTAACATTATATATGAATCTTTGAACATATTAATCGAATCTACAATTTTTCGATAATAAAACTTATAAAATTATATTTTTCGCACAGAAAGCGGAGATAAAAATGAATACAATACATATTATATCAATATACTTTAATGACAATAATTAATATCAAAAAATGTTTACAATCTTTCTGAATAAATACACGCATTTAAAATTCTAAAAGTAAACAATAAAAACGCTTAAAAATATAATCTATACGTCAACAAAAAGTTCAGAAAAGCATCTGCCCTTACAGATCACAAAATATACATAACAGGAAAATTTCGCTTGATTTTATAATTATTTAATTCACTATAAGAAATAAGTAATAGGTCAAATAATATATAAATAGATCTTTAAATTGATTCACAAACGCTAAAGATGGGGAAGCTGTTTAAATATAATTAAATAAATAAATGTTAATGCTAAAGGACTAATACAGTTACATTAGAATTTTGTTTTAAAAAATTCGCACATGATTATCATTTCTTACGCCACATATACTTTCCATACGGAAGTAAAGTGATTCTCCAAGAAAAATGTCATCGTTACGAAAGGTCTTTACAAAAATAGCATAATATGCTATTGCGCTAGGCTTAGAAGAAACAAAGACTAATATGCTTCGTGGTTTGGGAACTCAGCATACTCATCACAGAAGTTTCACCTGAGAGATATACAGAATAATACAATTATTACATTGCTTTCAAAGAATACTTTCAACGTCCTGAAAGGATACATAAAATGTGAGACAATATGTTAGTGAGCTCAGTTTACATGAAACACAGGCTGACATGCAATGTAGTTCGGATAAACTGCCCCTGTACAAACCAGTATGCTCAGTGTATTAGTTTCTGCTGCTTATGATGATGAACTCTTATATACATCATTACTATGCTCATACAAGCTTCCCCAAAAAGGAAAACAGAATACCACAAAAGCATTATATAACTTTATCAATACAGGTTAGGTTGGTTTCTTGAAAATGGAAAAACATACAAAGGCTATCTGCCTGTCGGGAAGGATGCATTTATGGAAGTAAAGCAAACTGGCTCGTACTCACGTTACGTAAGGACAAAACCATGGAAACCAATTACGCAGCCAGCTCACCTGGAATCGATCTCCCAGTCTTTATCAATAGAGAACTTATGCCTTTTTTATTGCTTTCACATTTATTTTTTAAGGTTTCAGGACCACGAAATCCAGCTACACCATTAGCACATAAAGATGCATTTCTGCATCGTATTTCGTAGATACGGTCTTGTTTTTGTGCTGCTAAGAAGGCTAAATTCAATTTGGCTCCTAAATTTAAGGTTAAGCATGCGTGAAACCTTACATTTCAACATCAGACATTGCTGTCGTAACAACTCTTTCTTACGTTTTCAGTGCAGCCGAATTCAATTTCCCATTTTTATCTATGCTAAAGGGCAGTTTCGCTCGTACAGATATTAGTCTGTCGTTGGCATAAAATAAAACCATTAACCTTTTATTCATTTTAAAACCTGAATTGCAATACTATATTTCATCAGCTTAATTCTGAATTATTTTTCGGACATCTTGCACCACAAAATTTGGTCGGACTACGAAATTTAGCACAGATTTGTTATATTTTACTTGTATTTATAGTTTGTTTTATTAAGTTCGGTTAGTCGCATGTACAATATTTATTTAATTTGTACCTTTTATTATGTTTCTTCTTGAAAACGCGTAATAAACCAAATTTTAAGATCAATTTTAATGATTTCTATGAAAAAATTTTGATTTTTTTTAAATCATAAAACATATAAACGCAATATAACCAACATAAATTAAATAGTTTCAAATAAAAATAAATAAAAAAAAAAAGAGAGCACACAGAAAAATTTAATAACGGGGGGGGGGGGAATTGAAAATTAATTTCACACACTGACGATTTATCAAAAACAGTATATACTCATAAGTAGCAAACATTCTACACAAGGGAAGTTTTGTTGCTGATAATAAAGAGAGACTAAAAAGTTCAGTCTTGATACAGTGTTCAAATTTCCCCCCCAATAATTTGTCTATAAATCTTCCCGTCTGTTCAGTATTTACTAATTATATGTTGAATTACATTTCAGAAGTGATTTAAAAATTTAAATGTTTAAAAAATTGCTAACTTTTTATTTCCCGATCAACTTTTTTTTATAGATAAAAAATTAATTCGCCTGATTAAAAAAAATATATTAAGATAATATAAATATTTTTACCAGAAATCGTCATTATATTGTAAAATTATTAACAGGAACACAAAATCTTACAAGTTTTTCAATTCATTGTTTGCATTTAAATAAACTTCATTGGTTAAATTTTTTTCTCAATTTTAATTTAGCGAAAGAGATTGTTTTTACAAGATGGTAACACCAGTGACAAAGATTGGATTTAAAAATTACTAAATAATTTTAATGAATTAATTGATAATCAATTCTTCTTCCTTCAAATTTTGAATGTTTGTTACATAAGTTCTCCTTCCCTTGGCGGTTAATATGCTGTCAACTATATAATCTACCTATAAATTTTCTCCCATTTGTTCATTGCTTATTAATTCACATTCATATGGAAGCTTGTATTTTCCTTACACAGAAATATCTTGGCAATGATTTGTGTGGTCTGATGTAGAACACACACAAATGTCACATAGTCTGATGTAAACATACACAAATTATAAAGCAGAGGAAGTGATAAATCAGTCGACAAAATTATTGCTCTTATGGAAAGAAAATTTAAATATATATATGTTACGGTGAAACACCGAAATCTGGAGAATGTTGACATTCACCGGTGAAACCGATATTTCCTTAGCATAGGGTCATTCACAAAAGAAGCAATATCCTGCATTAACAATCAAATTTTTAAAACTTTTTATTTAATACACGCAGGTATAAAAATAATTTGGTACTTCTTTTTTACAGCGGCCCCCGAGATTGAATCTCCATCAACCGAGATATCTCGTCAAAATATATTGTGTGTTCTTATACCTCACCACGTAATCATATATTAGCACCGTGTTGCATTTTTGCGCTCACCGCGTTTCTCATATTATTCATTTTTATGAGGTTTTCGAATTCGCATTGTTTGTCTACAAATATATTTATTGCTCTTTTCTTGTGAATATGACGTTAACAAACTTTAATTTGCCAAGCAATGTGGAGGATGCTACATCATTTTTTCAAGAAAGAAATCTTTTACCTGACAGACGAGTATGCGAAAATAGCCACAACATGAAACTTTAATGTTAACAACGAAACCATTTGCAGGTGAAATGTTAAAAATTGCAAAAAGAAGGGCTTCCATGCTGGAAATTCGTTCAGAGATTCCAGAATGTCGTTCGTCACTGCTATTAGATTTATCGGTTTAATCCTAGTATACGGTACACACGGGATTTAGCGACTTTCGTCGACATTATGATGAGCAGCAAACGAGTCATTTTGTTATTGGCGACAATTTTCAAAATCGTGCCTAGGCCGTGCCGTATACTAGGATTTTACCGATTTATGTATCCTTGGGCAGAGTTGACGTCCATGAAATCGTATAACAAACAGGTCAATATGAGCGACAGTGCAGTTGACAGAAACAATTACATGTGATAAAATAATAATGATAAGAATTCTTAAAAGTATTCTTAAGAAACGACATGCGAGTATTATTACATATTATGGTGTTTATTTTTACCATTAGCACTTCACGAGCCTCGCGAAATTATAGCTGAGATCTTGGCGCAAATCTAAAATCGTTGGGGCCGTTAAAACAAAGTACCAATAATTTTAAACGAATAAATATTTGGAATAACTTTATAGTATCCTAAACTTCGCAGAACGTTACTTCCATATCACACCATATTTCCTAGCTAGACAAAATATATTGCTCTATTTGCTGAACATCTGTTACGACCTCATTTGGATTAACATACTTAGAATTTTCTTCATTTAGAATTTCGCTACACAGCAATAATGCATTCCATCCAGCTTCTTTTGCAGCCAAGTAGTCCAATTTTATGTTATCACCAATATGTAAAGCTTCAGCAGAAGTAATTCCAGATGTGTGGCTTAACGCTAGGTTAAATATTTCTCTGCTAGGTTTGGCAATTTTAACTATATAAGATGCTAAAATAAAGTCAAAATACGACTTTAAACCATTCGCCAATAAAACAGAATCTAAACGTTCATCAAAATTTGATATAACTCCTAACACTATATGCTTCTCCTTTAAACGCCTCAACAGTTCTTCAGAACCAGAGGTTACTTTCCAGCATATATTGCTTCTGTAGAGATCATATAAATGATCTGATATTGCATCTAACTGGCCATTCTTAAGTTCATCTGGTCCAAGTGAGAAAGAGTTTCGAACCATCTCCTTCCACCATAAATGAGAAGTAAGTCCAGTATTTCGTCCAAAATTTGGATGGTCTGAATTCATAATTTTCCAGTAATGCATGAAGGCATTTGTTATTTTGTCTGGTTCTCTTTTTATGCCATAAAGACGACCAACTTTTGCATACTGTTCTCCAACAGATGTTCGAAACTTCAAGAGAGTATTAGTCACATCAAAAGTACAAAGCTTAAGACGTGATTTCATTACTATTGTCAATTGAAAAAAAAAAAAAAAAACCTGAAAAAAAAAAAGATTAAATATAATTACATACATATAAATATAACATTTTTTAAAGAGAAAATTAACATCATTGACAATATTTTAGAAAGGAACTTTGCTCAAAAAAGCAATTTATTTCTCGCAGCAACGATACCACAATATGCAACCATGCCATTATTCAGAATGATCTCTCTGGTATGTCATAGAGAACATATAAACAGATAGCCTTATAGGTATACAGGAGGACAATTAGAAGGAAATAACTTCTAAAATTATTACATCATGTACTAATAATAGCCATGAAATAATCATTACTTGAAACAATAGCCGAGCTAATTACTTGAGAAAGATTATATATCAAACCCTTAGATTTCCAGTACGAGAATCATAATGAACTGAGCAACGAAAGTGATTTTTCGTTAATTAAAAGGAAGTGACCATAAGAAACCATGGGAAAGGTAGCAATCGAACCATCAACTTTGCGGGCCCCTGACATTACAATTCTCATCGTCCTAAGTATGTGATCTCACGGGATGGTATGGGATCCCATCCATTAACGCCAGGTGATAAGATTGTCTTCGTCGACTGATACAGGATTAATAATTGAGCCAATAAAGTAATTGGCGCTTTTTTAAAGAAAGGGGGCACCAAAGGTCACCGAAGAACGAACACTGTAGCTTACGGATCCCCGAAACAGAGATGTCGGAATGTCTAAAATCAAAAGATGCCATCAGTTAGCACTCACCAAAGAAGAGTAAATAAGTAGGAAAACGTTTCTCCACGAGGTCCATATATATGACAATGATAGCTGATAACCGAACCTCTCAACTTTTGGTATATCCTGATTATAAAGTTCCACAGCAGTCCAGAAAGTTAACAGTTTCAGAAATATTTCCACTCTTCATATGATATCTTATGATCAATCTCAACTGAATACCGCTACCATAAGCATTTGAGCAAGTTGTCTTGTGAAGTATCGAATATCCAAATACACAACTCGCTCTACATTTTTATACTAAGTGGAACTTAAGGAGACACATAACTTTAAGACATATTTACTTTAAAAAAGTATCCAATGTAAAATCATGCAATGGGCAGATAAAAACGAGGTCAAGTTCAAAAACTTGTAGAGCGTATGAAATGTCGAGATTATTGTTGCTGAGAAGATAGAAAGCAAAAGGTTTTAACAAAAATCTTCTCTTGGCGTCTCATCTGATGCTTAAAGTTCTCGGTAAATTACACAGTATTGCACTGGATGCTTTGAAAAATTATTAAAAACTATAATAATCAGAAATCAGAAAATCATACTGTTTCTAGTTTAATTAAAAACTAAGTTTAGGGATGAATGGCAGTCAAATAGAAACCCTCTCTTTTCTAGATGTTTCAAACAGTGGTAACACTTGAGGTTTAACGGAGGGAAAAGCCAAAATTTGCCAGAAATGACTGAACGGTTGCCAACTTTGGTATCATAACATAAATTAATTACTATTGCAACAGTATGACGTCACTAAATTTTAAGAACGCCTATAAACCGCAGTTTTAAGAGCGGAGTTCCCCCCTCCGGAGTTTATAATTTAAGCATGGGATCATCTACCAAATGATGAAGATTTAGTTTCTTACAGTTCTTCCCCTTCTTTAGCTCTTTCTATTAGTTTCTTACAAGAGTATAATATCAGATTTTAATTAAAGTTTCCGGCCACCGCAAATATCGTCTGCGCTAATAATTCACGTTGGCGTGTTTAATCGTATTTTGTCAAACGATTTTCGGCATTTGAAAGAGAGAGGTTTACTTAAGAACACTGCGTTGTGAAATTTGTGAAAAAAAAAATCATTATGATTAAGTACAATGTGTCTGAAATGGAATTATCACGCTACGAGTTCAACTATACTTCCAGTTCTATTGCAAAAAGTCAGCAACAGAATGTCACCAATCATGTGTGTAACTTGAGGTACTAATGTTGTATCATATGACACTGAAGATTTGATAACGAAAGTTCAAAAACAAAAATTATGACATTCAAGAAGCAGAGAGCTCTGGCTGACCTATTGATGTTGATGGGACAGGTCTGCGAGAACTTGTGGAAGAAGATCAGTATGCAACCACTCGAAAGCTTGCTATGTAGTTAGATTGTAATCCCATGTCGATTAGTCGCACTATGCACGGCAAAAACTTGACGTACAATTTCAATCGCTGGATGTCGCATGAACTGACTCAAGCACATAAGAACAGACGTATGCGGGCCTACAGTAATTTGCTCGAATATCAACACAAGGACAAAATTTTGGACCGGGTCGTCCCTTCTGATGAAAAGTGGATTTACTTCAACAACACAGGCCGAAAACGGGGTTCGTCAAAATCGCAAAGCGCAATTTGACTAACAAAACGATCATACTTTGTATTTGGTGGGATTGCCATAGTATTATCCACAAAGAGTATCTGAAAAAGGTAAAATGCTCGACAGTAAGGTGTGCAGCGAGATACTAGTCCGTGTTGATGCTACTACCAAGGAAAAACGTCGAAATGAGTTCCGGGGCAAAAATGGTAATGTTCCATCAAGATAATGCAAAACCAGATGTGTCTACATTCACCGGCTGGTTCTCTGTACGGATTCGAATGGGATCTTTTTTTACAACCACCATTACAGCCTCAACATCGGTCCTTCGGACTTCTATCTTTTCTTACACCTCCAGCTACATCTTGCTGGTGTTATCTTCAACTTTGCACAGTGCGCCCGAAATGAGGTTGATATGTTTTTGGACTCAAGGCCACGAAATTTCTGGGCCGAAGGCTTTGAAAAACTACCAAAACGTTGGTAAAATAGATTTGGGTGGTGATTACTACCCGCAATAAAGACTGCTTCCATGTCCCCCCTTTTTTTTTTCTAACTTTATTAAGAATATTTTTTGGCGCAAAACTTTCGTTACAGCCAGATATGTTACCGAATAACCATCTATGCTTCAATTTGCCCAAAATGGAAACAGCATGGTGATGTTCGAAACACATTCGAGTGAATGGAAAGAGCATGGTGATGTTCGAAACACATGTAAAGGAGACCTTTAACACGGCTTTTATAGCTAAGGACCGCATTTTCTCAGTTATAAAAGCTGTTCTACTGGACCTTCGTTCATTGGCATTTACAAAATTCTATGAAATGCGGCTTTTGAGTACACAAGACAAATCTTCTGATCTTTATGTCCTGATAAACAAAAAAATTCGTTATGTCAATTAGAAAGAAGTGAAAAAGTCTTCAATAATACCTCACAGTTCGAATAAGAACCACAACTTTTGTTTTCCGAAGGCCCAAATTATTAAGTAGTGTTTTTTAATTTAAGTATATTATAATTTAATGATCGTGATTTTGTGAGTTATATGTTTGTAGTATTTTGGAATACGTTTGAGTAGTATATGTTGAGTATTTTCATGCATTTTCGTGAAATTTTTCTAATTTATGAGAAAAAAAGCAGTGTACATGGATATAGTGAAGAGTGTGCGCAATGCCATTTTTGTGCAATTCTGGGATGTTTTTTTAAGTAAAAATAAGTCGACGTGTACATGGTTTAGTTATATTTTAATTAAATGATAGTTTATTTTGTGAAATTTATGTTTGTAGCAATTGGTATACGTTTTCAGTTGAAGTAAACGTGCATCGAAATAATTTAAATATTTGACACTAAGTATTTGTAACCATTTTTAATGTTTGGCGGTAGAAATTCGTTGGTGACGTTTATAATATAATAGATAATTTAGAAGGTAAAAGTTTTTGGATATTTTATTTATTTTATACGTGGAAATGTTCATCCTTGGAAAGGGTATATACTTTTTCGCGATTCAGGTAATTTCATATATGTTCTTTTTACCGAGTTTAAAGATTAAGAAAATTTTCCTGCATTTTCGTGTAAATTTTTGTAATTTATGAGAAAATAGCAGTGTAGATGGATAAAGTTAAGAGTGTGTGCAATGCCATTTTTGTGCAATTCTGGGATGTTTTTTTAAGTAAAATAATTCGACGTGTAACATGGTTTATGGTGTATGATGCAATTCTTCCGAAAAACGCGCCAAGGCAAGTTTGCGATTCTGCACTTTTCCCAATTTTGGAGTTAATATTTGTCATGATTAAGCAGTTTTGTTACATAAAATTTCTAGCATAAGTGTAATTCGGCTAGTAGATTGTTGGAAAAAGTGTTGAGTAAATAAAAAGAAAAGAAACATGTCTTTACGAATGGCGGCGAAAAAAAAAAAAAAAAAAAATAGAGGGTTGCTGTAGCAGAGTTGGTCGCCAAAAAATCGCCAAGTTACCATAATCCAAAGATCAACCCAATGCTTTTTTGTCTAAAATTTGATTAATATATCCTTAAAAATACATTTCTTTTTATCTAAATCTTAATGACTTTAATTTCATGCCAAAACAATATAGTACAATTGTAAAAAAAAAAAAAAAAAAGTATAATTATGTTTTAACTAACATTTTACATTTTTATCTTCTTCTGCATGATGTACTCGCATTTATTTTATGGCATCATATTGCAGTTGTTTATTTATTATTCCTGAATTCGTGTAATGTTTTATGCAAACATTATATGAATTCAGGTCTCAAAAGTTTTTAAATGAAATATTAATGCTACATTTTAATAACTCTTAAGCCCCCAATCTAAGTATTTTAAGGACTTCTGACTATATTAATCATGAAATGAAATTTGTATGTCTTTCACAGATGAAATACTCTGTTCTTTAAATCTTTTTTATAGATATAGTACACATATTTAATAAAATACATAGAATTTCCCTTTAACTTTGTTGCTGTTTAAGACACATACATTTAATACAAAATATTCTTATAATTTTGAATGTTTTCTAAACAAAATATTAATCAAATCTGCAATTTCACGTATTTTACCTAATTAATCATCATAGCAGTTATTCTTCTTCCTAATCAGCACCAATAATAACTTATGATTATTCTATCTTGCTATTTGCAATTTATTATTTCATTTACCAAGCACGATTTACTTATTCAGAAATCTATTTTCGGTTGATCTTTACAATATGGTAACTGGTAGTTTGGCGACATTTTGGAGGCGATAAAGGTTACTACCTGGGACTTTGGTAATAATGTGAGCAGTACTCAGTTCCGATTACGCATTATTTTGCGTGAGGGAAATGAGAGATCATGGGATATGTCATGGATATTAATGGACGAATTACGGTTCTTTAATCGGAAAAGGGGGGAAATCGGGAAAAAATGTGGAAATTTTTATTGCGTTTAGCATTTTAGTATTTAGCTTCATAGTGTGTTGTGTGAAACAGTGTTGTTTAATTTTTGGATCCCATGGCCCTAACTAAAGTGAATTCGAAATGGGTATTTAGGCATTGTGATAAAGAGAAGTTTGCTTTTTATTTAGCGGAGGAAGTATGGAGGAAAAATTCGCACAAAAAATCTTTCAATAATTTTATTGAATGAATTAGAAAAGTGTATCCGCCACGTAATCAAGATTCTGAAGAAGATTAGGTAAGTTAGTATTTTTAATTATTTGAGGATATTATTTTTATGCGTTGTTCTAAATGTAAGGTGGAAAGGAATTTGGTATTGTTGGGAAAATTGTTATTAGCAATGATTTAGTTTAAAGTAATTAGAATTGTAAGGTAATTTTTATTAATTTAATGTATGTGCTCATTATATTTTAAGTAGTGTTTTTTAAATTTATTATTTTAATGAAATGATAGTTATTTGTGAATTTTTATGTTTGTAGGAATTTGGTAACGTTTAAGTTGAAATAAACGTGCATGGAAATAATTTAAATATTTGATACTAAGTATTTGTAATGCTTGCAGTATGAATTCGTTGGTGACGTGTATAATGTAATAGATGATTTAGAGGTAAAAGTTTTTTGGATATTTATTTATTTTATATGTGGAAATGTTCATATTTGTAAAGGGTAAATACTTTTTTCGCGATCAGGTAATTTCATATATGTTTCTTTTTACCGGGGTTTAAAGATTGAGAAAATTGTCATGTATTTTTCGTGAAATTTTTCTAATTTATGAGAGAAAAAAGCAGTGTACATGGATATAGTGAAGAGTGTGCGCAATGCCATTTTTGTGCAATTCTGGGATGTTTTTTTAAGTAAAAATAAGTCGACGTGTACATGGTTTAGTTATATTTTAATTAAATGATAGTTATTATTTTGTGAATTTTATGTTTGTAGGAATTTGGTATACGTTTAAGTTGAAATAAACGTGCATGGAAATAATTTAAATATTTGATACTAAGTATTTGTAATGCTTGCGGTATGAATTCGTTGGTGACGTGTATAATGTAATAGATGATTTAGAGGTAAAAGTTTTTGGATATTTTATTTATTTTATATGTGGAAATGTTCATATTTGTAAAGGGTAAATACTTTTCCGCGATCAGGTAATTTCATATATGTTCTTTTTACCGGGTTTAGAAAAGATTGAGAAAATTGTCATGTATTTTCGTGAAATTTTTCTAATTTATGAGAAAAAAGCAGTGTACATGGATATAGTGAAGAGTGTGCGCAATGCCATTTTTGTGCAATTCTGGGATGTTTTTTTAAGTAAAAATAAGTCGGCGTGTACATATTTTATGTGTATGTGTTATTTTGAAAAACGCGTGTATGGTATTGTGCACTTTTTCCCAATTTTGCAGTGAATATTTGTCATGATTAAGCAGTTTTGTTTGATAAAATTTCTAGCATAAGTGTAATTCGGCTAGTAGATTGTTGGAAGAAGTGTTCAGTAGATAAAAAGAAAAGAAACATGTCTTTACGTCGTGAAGACAAAATGGCGGCGGGGAAAAAAAATAGAGGGTTCCTGTAGGAGAGTTGGTTGCCAAATTTTCGCCAAAAATCGCCAAGTTACCATAATGTAAAGATCAACCCTATTTTCTTTTATCCCTGTGATGTGATATATTTACACATCAGTATTGTATTATCAGCATTGATTATTTAAATTTTATGTAAAAGATCTATAAATAGTTTCAAAAATATTCTGCTGTGGCTTTAACATAAAAATTTGTATTGTTTGTATTAAAGCAACAGTATTGTTCTGCTATCAGGACCGGATCCAGAAATGTATGTATGTGTATATGTAAAAGCGAATGTATGTGTGTATATGCATATACACATATATGTACATACATACACACGTGCATACATTCACACATTTCTGAATCTGGTTCTGACAACAGAACAGTAAAAAAAAAAAAAAAAAAAAAAAAAAATGCTTATTACATTACTAAAGTAACAAACAACTACATTAAATAACCAGTGTGATAGCATAGATTTTTCTTTCAGGAGGAAGGGGAAAATGACATCATTTCAGAACTTTTAGACATTTAAATGCTTAATTAAATCCCTCATCCAAACATCCTTAAAAAAAAAAAAGGAAAAAGGAACATATTTATTGAACAAAAAAAAAAAAAATTTCATAATTTTACATAAAGTTTATTGTAAACCACAGTGTTGTAAATTATTTTGAAATGTGATGCTTAACAGTAGTTAGAAAGGCTAACATGGAATAAAAGCTGAAGTATTTACTAAAAATGGTGCATTAGTTGTTTATTATTTAAAAATGGTTTCAAAATATAAAATCCTCCATTCTAAAGTGCATAGTATTTCACAAAACATTTTGAATTCTTATATATTTTGTTAGTTACAGAATAGTTAGTTTATGCTAAAGCTGAATAATAACCACAAATATTTGCAATAAATTAAAGCTGTCAACCAAAGTCAATGAAAGTCGATTAACTGTGCACAACAGAGGGGAGAAACCAAAACAATATAACACACAAAGAGGAAATCGGTAAAAGTTAACAATTGGGTACCCCTTGTTTTTTGGCGATTCTTTTTTTGATGCCAAGATCGGCACCAGGAAGGTACAATTTCTTGATGGTCGCTACACAAAAACAAAATAAGAGGTCAAAGAATTGCACAGACTCTGTGTCCATGTACACATTGATCTGTTTTCATTTAAAAAAACATCCTAGAATTGCACAAACTAGGCATTGCACACTGCCTTAAATTTGTCCATGTACACATCAATCTATTTTCATTTAAATAAAATCAGGAAGTTAAAACAGAGTTAAAACTATCATGGTAACCAGAAGTGAGGTTTCATTGCCAAAATTTAAAAAAAAAAAAAAAAAAAAAAAAAGATATCGCTAATTGAAGGGGCACCCAATTCTACACTAGAGCCAGGAAATCAAGTTTACTTACCGTTAAATGTCACGTAAGACACTGAAATAAACCTTCAAGAAAGTCGCTCAGCATCTTATCTGCCAGCTTCGTAACTTTTCGTCTCATGTTTACACTTTTTTACGCGGCGTTAAACGCAGACCTTGATCCGTGCTTTTCCTCATGATAACAGTTCAATTGCCCATGCGCAAAGATATGGGGTTACTTTAGATGTGCCACATTTGGCGCTTTATGACAAAGCAATGATCGAAAGCAATCGAAAAAAAATGATTTGATATTAGGTTTATATATTATTATTATTTTTAATTTCACAGATATAACAAGATGTAAAATAAACTTGTAAAAGATGCAAAATTATAAACAGATGCAAAATCACAAATTCTAATTGCCTCAAAGTTCGATTTTAATTAATGTAATGGCTGCTCTTGGTGCATTGAATGAATTTTTAAAATATTTGGCCTAAAACTGCTTAACTTAATTCTTAAATCAGCTTATTCAGAAATATAATATTCTTGCTCTTTGTTTTCCTTAGTAATTCATTGACTTGACTAAAGTTTTTTTTCCAATGGGTAAGAAAAGTCAATAACGTTGGTTGGATAACAACTTTAATTCTGGAACATTTCTCTCATATGACATTTAAATTCTCAAACTCAGTGTACTCGTATGTTCTGAATATAACTTAATTTATTTTTATGATAAAGTTTTATATGAATAAGCAACTAATTATCAATTTTTATTAATGCGCTTTTTGTAGTCAATGGGATCTTGATTGTGCTGATCAATTGTCGGCGCATATTCGCATATTGACTCCTTGATCATCATACGGCCCCTTTAACGTTTCATCAACCCCACTGAGAAGACTTGATTGCTAAATGTTTTGCCCAATCTCTTCATAAACCATATAATAAACTTTATATAAGATCAACTTGGATAGGACTGTGGTAAAACATTTAAGGTTCCTATAAGAAGAAGAGATGAGTTTATGGAAAACTGTACAGATATTAGGTTATTTCGAAGCAGGAGACCTGAAAAATGCGCAATGCCCTCGCCGGGACTCGAACCTCGAACCTATTTAATACGCACCGAGCGTGCTGACCATGACACTACGAAGGTCTGCTAAGAAGGCGAGAGTAATACCTTATATAGTCCCCCCCTTTTAAAGAGAGACTGAGGATAAGGGACCCAGTCGAAAAATCCTGGTGGTGGAGAATCATAACCCGCCACCTTTTTTTTTTAGATCGGCAGCCACTGGAGAGACATTAGGTTATTTTAATGCTGGAGAAGGGAAAAATGAGCGGTGCCCTCGCCGGGACTCGAACCTGAGACCTCTCGAATACACACCGAGTGTGCTGACCATGACATGACGAGGACATGCTAATAAGGCGCGGGAAATACTTTATAAGGCTAGAACTAAAATGACCAGACCATTTCTTCGCCAGAAATATAATCAATGCTGAACTACCAGTATTTCAAAACATTAGCTATTCCACCATATAATTTTGCATCAGGAAATATCCCTAATGATGAAAGTAAAATTTAAAATAATTGCTCAAGCTGTTATATGTATTTCAGTATAAAATATGAAAAATGTATACTGAATTTAATGATTTATTGGTTGGATGTCATACCATCAAAGAATAAAACCAGGCTATAATACTTATATACCATTACTAATTAATGCTTACATGCAATTTTAATGATATCGAGGCTTAAATTGAGCCGGAGGCCACCGCAGCTCGGCTCCGGAAATTTTTCAGTTTTTGAAAAAAAATCTGATTTTAAACGGAGCGTTCCTGAGCCCTAAATATATGGGCTCCTGCACTTTTTTTATGTAAGTGAAGTACAAATTCATCAGGCAAATTTTGTTTTAATATTAACAAATATGCCTTAAAAATCAGTTCTAAATTCTGAATTAAAGCCCTTCTTTCCCTCGGACACAAACCTTTGAAAGAGAGAGAGATTTTTAAGGAAAGAAAAGCTTCATATATGTCAAAGGCTTATTCTACAGAAATTGCAATGAATTTATGAGAGCGGGTAAATTTTTTATTTCTGAGAGTACTAAAGCGATTATCCCGGTCATGCGCGGGCCAGGCTAGTGACTTCCTACTGCAGAGCTGCAGTAGACTCTTTGAACGATGCAACCAAACGCGGGAATATAATTCTCACTTTTCTCCATAATAGCACTTTATTCGTTTTATCATTTTTCGTTTGTGTGCTGCAAAAAGAATGGTTTTTGCATCTGTCGTCCCTTGGAATAGTACATTATACGTATAATAGAGGCGCATAATCAGACGGAAATCGGATGAACTACTTCTTAGCTTCTGAGTGAAATTGTAAATCCAGCCGGAGACTCAAATAATTTATTTCCATTCAATTATTTATTAAATTACAGAAATATAATAACTAATCAAATTTCGATTTATCTCCTTACCTATTTTTAAATTTTAATTTAATTATTATTTAGTCGAAAGAGCGTTGGCACAGAAGGGCTATTAATTTCGTTTTGGCATTTTGCGTCGTTTCGCTTTTCAAACTGTTGCCACCAAATATTAGAGCCTTGTGTTATATTTAAAGAAATTAAGTAATGAAGCATCTGCATAAATGTATGAATGTTTCTCGCATTGTGATAATACAATGGTACGTACCTGGAGACATCGAATTTTGAATAATGTTATTATTTAGTACATAGTTTCTTTCAATTTGTCATCATTTACCCCGAAAAAGGCATTTTTTTTTTTTTTAACGTTTTGTGTGTTACCTTTATTTATTAAATATCATGTTCTTTGCACTTAAAATTCAATTTAACCTCCCAAAATAATTTTAAAATAACCACATCTTTAGAATTTTCGATACACAGTCTCGCGCGTTGGAAATAATGGTTCTATTTGTTTATTTATTTTTTTCCGTACAGTGTTGACATTGCTCGGTTTGACAACCTTGAGTTTCTTAATCAAAAACTCATAGGTGCTTTACAAAATATGAATTATTTAATAAAACAAATTCCAAATTCGGGCTTCCAGATGCCTATATTCGGGTGGAGAAGTAAGTATGTTATTCAAAATTCGATGGCTCTAGGTACCGTTGTTTTATCACAATGCAACATGCATACATACATTTATGCAGATTCTTCCTTATTTAATTTCTTTAAATATAACACGGGGCAATAAGATTTGGTGCCAACAATTTGAAAAGTGAACCTACATTTATAGTGAATCAAAGCAAAATGCCAAAAAAAAAAAATAATAATAATAATAATAATAGTCCTTCTGGGCAAATTTGCTCCTTTAGACTAATAAGTACGAATATGGGCATCTAGTAGCCCAAATTTGGAATTTGTTTTATTACCTATTTCATATTTTATAAAGCATTTATGAGTTTTGATTAAGAAACTCAATAATTCAAAAACGAGCAATGGCAACATTGTACGAACAACAACAAAAAAAAAAAAAAAAAAAAAAAAAAAAAAAAAAAACTATTTTTATCTCCAGCGCGGAAGACTGTATATCGGAAATTCTAAAGATATGCCCATTTTAAAATTATTTTAGATATTGCTGTTGAATTGAATTTTATGGTTTAAATGCGAAGAACATGACATTTAATAAATAAAGGTAACAGACAAAATATTAAAAAAACGCCCATTTGGGCGTAATATAAAATCCGAAAGCTTTCAGACTTTTTTTAATGTATTTTTTATTTTTAGTTGTTTTATTTATTTTTTCCCTTCCTTCCCGACAATCTTCCATAGGGCTCTGGCACTTCTAATTTTAGAAATAAAGCCATGATTATTTCTATAGAATTCATTTTTTCTGTGGGATGTCCATCAATGTTCTGAAACAATATCAATATTGCATGGCACACTTAGATAAGAGCTGAATTGTTCTGGCGATACCTACAATTAGAATTTGTGCCCTCTCGATTGGTTTCATTCCTGAATTGTCTGATTCTTAATCCTCTAATTACTGAATGGCCTCTGGCACTGAATTCACAGCCCTACAATTCTCTTTCATTGAATTTTCTTTGAATCTTCGATTTTACCTTCAGTTCTAGTATGGACAGAGACCTGTCGCAGCTACAGGACTTCTTCAGCGATACTTAATATGCCTGCTTGGATGTAAAGGTGCCAGTCTTGCTTCAACCTGTACCAGTGTCAATAAGATGTTGCCCAGACAGGTTAGTGGCAAAGTCGTAGTTAAGGTTTTCAGCGCCCAGGGACAACTGACGATTTCGCGCCCCCTACTGCTTGCCAAGGATGGAAAACATTTAATTCTAAAATGTCGTAACATCAGTTTGGCGCCCCTTGGATTCTGCGCCCGGGGACAGATGCCCCCCTTGCCCCCCTCTAGCTACGCCCCTAGCCCTGCAATACCTGGTTAGTGGTTACTGATGTTGACTGTTGTTACCAAAGGGCCTGGGTACGAATCCTGGCGAAGGCATGGATGATTGTGTGCATATAGTGTCTGTGTGGTAAAGGGACACTCAACACACACAGCAAGTCAAAATCCTCTCAAGAAGTTGATAGTAGGGAATGAGCAGCGGGAGACTCTCGGAATTCCGTTCAGGGTGAAGCTCAGCGCTTAGCAAGGCCCTGCAATACTTAATATGCCTACTTGGATACAAATCTGCCGTCTTGCTTTAATCTGTGTTAATAAGGTACAGCCTTATTGTATTCGAATATGCATTTTCAATCATGTTTCAGTTGAAGAAATAGTCACAGTTATAATAAATAGTAAAATAGACTTTTTCAGCTCAAATTGCTATGAGAAACCTTCAAAATAAATTACTAGTCTGAGCCATTAATTGATTTAATAGTCAGGGCTTAGTGTCTAAAATTAGATGTGCCGCAGCTCTGTGGAAGACCATCAGGAAAGAGGAACAGGAATGAATAAATAAAATGACTAATAAAATCATTAATAATTAAAAAAGTAAATAATAAATTATTTAAATAATTAAATAATTAATGATGAAAAATTAAATAATTCAAATTTAATAAAATGTAAAGAGATAAATTAAAATTTAGTAAGGAATTTTTAATATAATTTTATCACTAAAAATAAAATTTTCGAGATAAAATTTTTACTGGAATTGTTCAGTTACATAGAATAGCTGCCGGAGCCTTCTTACTTAGGGCTCCTGTGCACATCGTTTAGAATCCTGAATTATCCGAAAAAACTAAGATGTATCGGAGCCGGGGCTGGAGCGGGAGCCGTAGGCTGTGGCGCAATTTAAGCTCTATTATTAAGATTATAAACCATAGTCTTAAGTGATAAAAATACTATATATATTTTTTACTGTATACATTTTTACATTAAGCTTTTGTGATAAGAATTATGTATACATTATGGCAGTAAATGAAGAAACCAAGACTAGTATTTCATGTACATTTCATACATTCATCTTATTCAATACATCTAGGGTACTGATAAAATTAAATTTATATTATTTGACTAAGTTTCTGAAATTACTACGAACTCAGAGAAGATTTCACAGTATATTTATTGAAGTGCATATATGAAAGTAAGCAGCTCAAAGATTCACTTTGAGAATAATTTACTAATATTCCATAAGTGATTAAAATGTGTTACAGATGGTAATATGTACAATAATATAATTAGATATTAATTGCCATAATGAAAAAAACTGGCAATCGCGTTTTTAATAAAAACGGTGTACAGATTTGTTCTTTATTAACCATAGGTCAGAAACAATTACCAACATCAATAAAAAGAAATTGAAAATGCATAAATTTTACCATAAAGCGGAAGAGGTTAACAGTTTTAAAATCTTGAATGCAATGAGGAAATTTAGTAATTAAAGATTTTACTTTTGATTAATGAGGAAGTTTATTTATGATTTACAAGTAAAATGTACTGACATTTTCAATGAAATGTTTAGATAATCTTGAAATATACTGGAAAGTTTCCCAGATAGTCTGTTTTCAAATTCCAACCTGGAATTTTTATTCATTTCATTTAGATGAATTCATTAAAATTTCTAGCTTTGTGAACAGAAAAAATACGGTTTACTTGCACGAAATTTCTGATAACATTCACGTTTTACATCACAGATTTTATTTGAAAACGTAATACGAAACTGGCGGGAAATGAGACTTCTTTGGCGCAATCTGTGACGAAATTTCAGACAGGGAAAAGCAAGGATCAAGTCTGCATTTAATTTCACCGCACTTTTTTTTACCTCACAGTTACAGTTAAATATATTAAACCAAGACTATTTTTTTTTAATCTTGTTTCAACTATGGGGATCGCAGATTAATTACAAACAAATTACATCACAAATGCCTTCCCTAATTTTGGTTTTGCAGTTATTTTAAAAAGTTCGACATGAACTGAATAAGTAATTTAAACATAACAATAAATGAAAGCTATGTAAAATAATTAAGGAGATAATATTATTATCCTTAAAAAGAAATATGCAACATTACACTATATCTGAAATTTAATTAAAAAAATAACTGGACGTTTCTTCCCCTCCTGCCCATTTTTTTCCTTTTTCTTTCTCCCCCCCCTTTTTTTAGCTCTTCCTTCCTGTTCATGTGATCGGGGGTGTTCCTGTTCAACTGTTGATTCGTAAATAACTTTCTCGGCATGTTCGGTAGATTTTAAAAGGTATGGTTTGCGTTGAATTAGAGATGGGAGCAGTTCTTAAAATATGTAGAGTTAATGAAGAATTTTTTTTGCGAAATTTAGTAAATTTTCGTTAATACATGTTTCTTTTTATCCAAAATTTAATGAAAATAATTGCACTCAGAAACATCTCACAGGTTCTGCTTAGTTGTGGGAATTTCAATTTACTAGTCAATGTTATCGGACATAATTACATTTTATATAATATTTTAGATTTGTTATCTTCATCTATACATTGCGTTTATTTTCATCTATACATTGTGTTTATTTTACGGCGTCGTATTTTGATTGTGGTATATATTCATTGTTTTTGCATTCATGTAAAATGTTATGAACTTTTATATCGGTCAGTCCTTACACAGTACCAAAACTGATTTCAAGATGTAATTATCTGTTAAATGAAATATGTAAAAAGTAAGTTTGGGAAATAGTATAAGCAGTAACAAAATTTGCCCGTGTTAAAAAAAAAAAAATGTAAACAATGAAGTAATTTTAAGCACAGCCGCCGTGTTTATCTGCTTTCCATTTTCTTTGATGAATGGTTTAATCAACAGATAAGTAGTAACTTCCTCACTTAGAGGTAAACAAATTTAAATTTTATTTTCCCAGCAATTTGACTTTTAACAACCCTCCCATAAGTAAGGAATATGAAGAATATATGATGTACCGAAAACATGTTTTGATTGGTTTTAACATAGTTTCCTTTCCTCTGTATTTCTTTAATTATATTTTCTAGTAAAAATATTCAGTATGTTTGAAACATATAATTTTCTCCTTCGATTAAATATTTTTTTTAACCTTTTAGGCAGTGAAATTAGATGAGAAAGGCTGATTAACAAGGTAATTGAAAATTTGGGAAGTATTTCAAAATTTGGTAGCATGTAAAAATAAAACTATTAATTTTTATTTAGAGCATAGTTAGAAAGAGAGGTGCAAAAGGGTTAATTTTTCTCTATCTTTATGTATATATATTGAATTAAAAGCTATTAATAACAGATATATAAAGTATATAATCATATTTCTCAATTTTTAAAATATCTTATAGTTCACATTACTATATTTTATCTGGAAATAATCAGCATATCTTTTGATTGCACATAATATAAGATGAACTGCTGTTGTAATACAAGTCTGGTACATACAGAATGTTTAAAATCAGAAACCTTGATTTGCAATACCCATATTAAAATAATTACAATATTTAATAAACCTTTAAATGTTGTAAAATTATTCCTAATAAACCAAAATCATTAAATCGCATGCAGCTGTATTAAATTAGAAAATTTTCAAAATAGGAATCATGTTGCATTTGTATCATCACAAATGCTGGGTATTATATTAACTAGTAATGAATAATGGAATAATGTGAAATCCAGTATTTGTCACTAGTAACAAATTTAACAGAATAGTAACTAGTAACCAATATTGGAATAATGTTAAGTTGTTTGAAAAAATAATGTGAGATTTTATGGAGAATGTATAATGTTGTCAGCTCGAATTTAGCCATATCCTGTATTAATTTTTTTTAATAAGCTTTCCGTTGAACATGAGATAATGCAAAACAATAAAGTGTCTGATATGTATTAATTTGTGGGGTAGAGTAGACTTTAAGGTACCCCTTGTATTATGGCGAAGTTGTTTGATTTATCGCTAAGTTGTTGTTTCATTTATGGTAGCCTGAGTAGTTGAATGTTATGGAAACCCTATTGTGACGTAATCGGGTGCATGATTCTGGGAAATTTTGAATCATGTGATGTTTTGTAAGCATTTTTGTGGTGTGTGTTGGTTTGATTCTTGAGACGGTAGAATGTAGTAAGATTAATTTGAAGTTTCTGTATGATTTGGAGTGAAAGGGGAAAAGAGCTTTAATTGACTGGTGTGTAAATGAAGGTTTACTTAGTAGCCATTATAAGTGTCCTGTATGTAGGAAGGATATGCGTCTAGTCAAACGTAAAAACCGTTTATGGATTTGAATGGGTTTGTAGGAAGAAAGGTCACTATGTGAAGCGTTCGATCAGAAAGAGTACCTGGTTTGAAAAATGTCATTTGAGTATGATTGATATTTTGATTTTTACGTGGCTCTGGATGTACGAAGCGAACTCGAAAATCATGGTAAGTGAATATTTGCTTTTGGTAGTGCATAAATGTATAACATGTTTTTCCTTTTTTTATGTTACTTTATTGTTTGGTTTAAAATGTATTTTATTGAGATTATGTATTTTTTGTTTGCCTATATTGTAGAATTTGGTGCTCCTTTGACTTTTCAAGTGAAAATATATCGATGTGTACATGGACCAAGTAAAGGGAGTGCACAATGCAAGTTTGTGCAATTGTGGGATTTTTTTTTTTAGTGAAAATAGGTTGACGTGTACATGGATAAAGTTAAAAGAGTGCGCAATGCCATTTTTGTGCAATTCGAGGGATTTTTCTTTTTAAGTGAAAATAGGTCGACGTGTACATGGATAAAGTCAAAGGAGTGCGCAATACCATTTTTGTGCAATTCGGGGATTTTTTTTAAGTGAAAATAAGTTGATGTGTACATGGATACCGAGTTTGGGCAATTGTTTGTCTTGTAAAATAAAAAGTCAAAGAATTGCACAAAATCGGTATCCATGTATCGCCAAGTTTTGCCAAGGGGTACCCTAAACTATACTTTTACCAATTTGTTTAATTATTATTGTATTTCTAATGATATTTTTTTTACTTTTTTTACTCAGGTAATATTCAGATGCATTCTATAAACGTAACAGTGTGTTAGTATTCATTGATATGAGTACGCCATCTGTGACATTAAGGTAATGTCATATTTTATCTGTTTAAATCTTTTATAAGCACTTCCAGTTTTAACTTTGCAAACCAAAGTTTTGCTTAACTTGAAAATTATCATATTTTATGTATTTGAAACTTAAGTATCATAATTTTTATGTTAGTTCATCTAGGCTATTTTCTTCCAAGTTAATGAATTTAATATTATTATTACCAAATGGTCAGTTTGATATTTAGTAGTTCATCAAAATTTAGACAGATGTGTGTCTAAACTTTGATGCTTGGAAAGAGTTTTGGAACATCTCTTATACATGCCCTCAGTTGGCGACAAATTTCTCGGCAAACATTTTTGTCGAGAAACTCCATGGCGCCATATTACTATCTAAATTTTTTGTCTACATCCTAAAAGGTCTGCAAAAATGCGGTTTTCGCACGTGCAAAAATCGCGTTTTAAATACACAATTTATGTCAAACCCGAAATGAAAACAAAAAATTTAGATAGCAAAAGCAAAAAGTTTCTAAAAATATTTGGCAAGAATCCATGATACTTTTCTTGTTTGTCGGCGCAAATGATAAAGTCGCCAATAATGGTACAACTGATGCCAAACAGAATATCTCCGCTGGTAACCTTTACCCTTCATTTTCAAAACAAATCACAGCCATTTCTTATCAGATTGATTGTTTCTTTCAATACTGGCATACAATTACATAGAATTTTTACTAGTTCAATTTTATGCCCTAAGACCACTCACGGTAATTAATTATTATGCATTCACACCACTCACTCGAAGGTGAAAATACAGAAAAGGCAAAATCAAGGGTTAAATTCATCAAATCTAATGAGAATGCATTAGCAAAGTAAAGCACTGCAGTTTTACATAATTTTCTGAGTAAGCTATTCATACGAATTGAAATAATTCTTCTATTTAAACTTGTATTCCATAAGATTTAATTTAAGATTTAACTTGAAATTAATATAGATAATTACTGAGAGAATTCGATTTTTGTAGCATAATTTACGTGAGAAAAGATCACTTGGAGTCACGTGATATGAACCAGCAAATCAGTATGTTGAACCATGAAGGAAAAGTAAATTCTTAAATTTATGTCTTTTTACAAATTTATTGGCTTTTTACAAAATTTTAAACCATATTAAAATGTTTATGCCTTCAAAATAAAAAATTCTTAGAACTAACATTTGTTAACATTTTTTACGTGTATACTGTATAGACTTGGCGAGATTTGCGCTCGCAAAATGAAAAAGTACCGAATCCATATACACAGCAATCTGCTCTAACTTTAAAAAAATCAGAGAATTGCACAATCTATGCAGTGTAGGAATCTAGGAATTACGTACACCTCACTAAAATAAACTAACACAACAACACTAATTTCAAACAGTACCATGTATATAGCATTCTGTTTTAACTTTAAAAAAAAATCAGCAAATTGCACAATGTAGGCATCGCGCACAGCCTCGGCATTGTGCATAAATGAACAAAATAAACTACTTACTGAAATAAGTGTCAAACAATTCAAAAAACAACAATAACGATAGAAATTCATAGCAAAAAATCAATGAACATAACATTCTACAAAATAAGAAAAACAACAAAATAAAATGCACTTACCATTGTTAATGTTTCTTCAAGCAGCAGAAGTATCAGTTTCAAACATCAGCAAATCTCATCAATTTCTTCCACTTTAACCTTCTACCCTATCTTCTAAGATACAGATTATATAAAGTCCAGCATACATTTGTGAATAAAATCTGCATAACAAAAGACTCGTTAACAACTCCAATATTGTACCTTTTAATACTAAATTTACCTTGCACACGATCCAAAATATGTGACTGAAATTTTGCCACCATGTCTTTCATTGCAACATAAGCCATTTCAAAATGCCCACCAAACCAACCAACCACTCCAGCAAAATGAAGTTTCAACATCAAAAGGGTTACCATGCAAACAACATCGCACCAAAATATAAACCATTTAATTGCAAAGGTGCCATTTATTATTTTTATTCCAATGATTATACATCATTGGCCCCATGCATTTTTGATGCATGAGACTGGAGCATGAAAAAAATAAGAAGACAAAAAGACAAAACAGTAATTAATCTCATTATGATAACAATAACTACATCAAAACTTGGAAATAGGAAAAGAAATGACTACATTAAGCATTAATAGTAATAATTAGTTTCTGGATGTCGACTGCATCATTTTTCTAGCCTGCTAATACTGACTGTATAGGTTTTTTTTCCTCTGGTGAGGAGCATTTTAGCAATTAATCTCTGTCCATCTCAAAATTCTGGTTGCACAAAGTATACAAGTGACTGTTATATATACCAATGTAGTGCAAATGCATAGCAAGACAATCATGTCCAGTCTCCAAATGAAATAGATTTGGGAAAGTTTGGGATATTACAAAATCTCTTGATCTAACCATTCAGTATACTGAATAAAGATAAAGAGGATTGAAATTTTAATAGAAACATTGAAAGCAGCTCACTATAAAAGCGTTAAGGTAGCAGGATGAGATATTTAACTTTCAGCACAGTGTTTTTGTACTTTTAAATATTCTGCAAAAATTTCAGTATTAATAAGAAATGTTTTCCCTACTTTGTTTAAATTTGAAACCACAATAATGTTACAAATTTAATCGAGCTAATTGTGAAAAAAATGCAGTTTTTCTTTAAAGTCAGAGTTTACATCTTTTTATATTAATATTTAATCTTTAAAATATGTTTTGTGTTATCTTTAAATATACATTAAAAACCTATTGTCTGAGTAAAAGTTAAGATTTTAAAACTGATAAATCTTGTATGTTTTTCTAGTGAATTCAGGTAAAGACTAAAGTGTATATTAGGAGAAGAAAATGGCATTATAGTTATTATAACGTGCTTGTGATATGTTGATATTTTAAGTTAAACACATATTTACAATCACTTATTACAAAATATATTTTATTTGTACATATATGTAATTAGTGAATAAATAATGTATTTTTAAATTCGTATCCTATGTGAATAAAATGTTTATATAGATAACATTGCATTTTCAGTTTATGAAAGAAAGATTTGTGTAATATTTTTTTTATATTGGAATTAACATGAAGGCATACTTTATATATTAGATTACTGTCAATTTAAATTTTTTAATTATTCTCTTTTCATTAATCAAGTATTTATGAAATTTACATATATTTTACCGGCTTTGATTGCATTGCGTTTGGTGAATGTTCTTAATATTTTAAACCATAATTAGGGGTTTTGGAGGAAAAAATATGACAAATCAACTGATCTTCACGATATTATTCTTCATTTGTTAGCTGGCTGTAGTTATCACTTACACCAAGAAATATGCTTGTGGGGAATGTGATAATTCTATACTGTTTGTTCAATAATATTATCCCATTTTATGTGTGTATTCTTCATTTACATGTGAACCTTTTGATAAAACACCTAACAAATTTTCTGAAATATATACGAATGTGTGTAGCATTCACGTTTTGAGCAAATAATGAGAAGGGCCATAACTTATACCATTTTTCTCTACTTCACAATATTAAGTTAATGCTGCCCCAAAAGTTTATGAATTTACTCTATTCATTTTGCACAAAGATATATAACTACCAATACATTTTTAGACACCCATGCAAGTGCTCATATCAGCGGTCCTCACATACGTCACACTTTCTGCCATTAAATGCCATGTAGGAAACAACATGGACATTAGTCGCATGCAAGAGACCATGAAGTGCGGAGTTTTCTGATTTCGAGAAAGATGTAATTGTCAAATATCGCAAAAACGGCTAACCTTTAAGAGACATATGTAGACAATTATCCAAATTTGACAATGGCCTATATGATTCAGAAGTGGAAGGTGAGTGGAATGTGCACCAAGTCAGCAGATCCACAAAACTGGGAGATAGCGACCGACAGGTGCTGTCCATAAAAATTCGGAAGAACTGAATCCAGCTTATCCACATACTCCAGAAGTTTTAACAGGCAGTTGGGAGTGTTGTTTCGATGAATACCATCCATAAGAAAGCACATCTGCTTGGTTTACATGGTCATGTTGCTACTTGTAAGCCTTTGATTATGAAGTCCAATAGCACCGCTTGGATAATGTAATGTAAAGCACGTCAATAATGAACCATTGATCAGTGGAAATAGAAGCAAAGAATCAAGGTTCGCCCTCTACCATTTGTATGACAGGGTATCTGGCGTCTGCTTGGAGAATGCCTCCTGCCAGAATGCATTGTGTCTACAGTAAAGTTCGATGGAGGTGGAACTATGATCTGGAGGTGTAATCTCTTGTTATGGACTGAAGGTTTATCAAAATTCATGGTAAACTCAACGTCGAAGCCTGCTGTTCTATTTTGGATAGCACTCTGCTTCCTACATTGTGACAGTTTAGGGGGTTGGACCCATGTTACTTTAAGAATGACATCGTAAGCTGTCATGTTGCGAGGTTCACCATGGAGTAATATGGTGACAATGGAATTAACCAAATGGACTGACCTGCCCAGACCTGAATCATATCGAGAACCTTTGGGATGAGTTGGATTGCCTAATTAAGGGGTGCAACAACCATCCAGTTTCGATGAAGGAATGTACATCCATTCTTCCAATTGTCTTCCCCAAGCCAAGTGGAAGAAAATAGCCATCGTACAAGGACTTGTGGAAAGCATGTCCTGTAGGGTTGAAGCTGTAATTGCTATTTGTGGAGGCTCTACCAGCTACTGAATATGAATAAATTTTGTTTTTCTTTTCTATCACAGGTGTCCAAATACTTATTGGTAGTTTAGGTTAACCAATAATATACTATCTTACTTGGTAGATAAGTAATAATAAGTACATAGTACATATATTTATACACACAAAATTTTTCAATTTTTATTATTCTTTTATTAATTACTACCAAAATTTATTGTTTTTAAGATTATTACTTATCATCTTTGATAGTTATTTTAAGTAACTTCGAATAAATACTTTCTTTGTTTCATTAATATCTTTAATTTTGTCTGTATTGAAAAAATTCATCATATGTATTTGTTATTCAGCTTGCCAATATGTATAGAGTTACAAGTCACTGCATTTGAATTGTAAACTATTGAAGGTGTTCAAAGTACTTTAGAAATATTCCTTAACCACATAGCAAAATACTTATATGTTGTTGTTTTTAAAATTTTAAAGATGTGATTTCTTAATATTTTAAAAAACATGTATGGGCTAATAAGTTTACATATTTACAGATGTTAATTATTTTTGACATGATATAGATATTAATATTATGCGTTTTATGCTATGATGTCATGTTAAAATTTTTATGTAATAATTTTATAGGTCTTTAAAAAATGAAGAAACGGGAATTGATATATCAGTTCCATGTTTTCAAGAGGAGGAAGCTCCCTTGGGAGGAATATCAATTTTATATGAAATATCTGTGTTAACTAGATTAGATTTGTTTAAAACGAGACTGCATAAATATGGAGATGTGGTCCATTTTTCTGTAAGTATAATCTTTTAATTCTATGAACTTTGAATTAATTTTCTTTTAATTTCCTCAACTTTCATGTTTCTGAAGTTCATGCTTTATTGTTCTCTAAAGTTTTATTTTGTGTTTAAGTATATTTTTATTGTATATTTGAATTTGAAATACATAAAATTTTTATTTTCATGCAATTCGAGAATTTCAATAATTTGCTCACTTTGAGATCAAAGGTTATATGGATTAAAGAATTTCATGGATTGCAGTTCATGTCTTTCTAAATTTTTTGCACATATTTTGCTTTGCATTTTACACATTAAATTTGGATTGGTTATGTTACCGGTAAAGGTTTGAAATCCAGCATTGTGTATAATGCCTAATACTAGCCAGCAATGTATGAAACAATTCATATTTCACACATTTCCTAGGCATTCTGTAAAATGCCAAGTGACATACTGGCAAAGCATAAAATACATTTTCCGGTTCGATTTGAAGAACCAAAACTACTTGACAGAAGTTAATAAATGATGTAGAAAAGCCAAAATGACTACTAAGAAGGTATCACGGGACTACTGGCTACTGAATCAGTAGGATGTGATGTTTGTGGAAAATAAAAGTACATTTATTTATCCTGTTAAAAAAAGTGTCAGTATTACACAGTATTACGTCACAGATACCGAGTTAATTCCTGTACTTCATGAAAATACATTTGAGTACTAGACACTGACAACGTGACAGAATGTTAAAAGAACTTATAACCAAATATGAAATCCTTACATGTAATGATATTGAACTCTACAACCACTTTGTGGGCCCTGCCAGAACAAACGAAAATGTATTAAAAAGGGGATTGTTGCAAAACTTATGACTATTTCTAAATTAAATTCCGTTTCCAGGTAGAGCTTACTGATTCCCAGTCTCAATCAGATAGAGTTTATTATTTATTATTAGTCTCAATCAGATAGAGAAAGTTTATTTTGTTATATCAAGATCATCTCAGTATTTTTAATGACACTCTTTTATTAATTTTTTTAAAAATAACGTTTGTATTTTTTAGGAGTGCACATCTTAAATAATGGCCTTATTATAACCTTTTTCTCATACTTTGCCTAAAGAGCATTTATCATTCTATAGAATGCCTAGGTAAAGCGTGTAATAATTCTCTTATTTCATACTTTGCCTGAAAACGTCCGGTATTGTTCACAAGGCCTAGGCATTCTATAGAATGCAGGCGTTTCATACTTTGCCAGTAACATTTGCACATAAATAACTAACCAAGAGATATTTTTACTTTAAAACTTTCATCATTTTTATGTAAAGTATACTTCTGTCATCAACAACATGTTCATTATTTATTATATGTGTTTGTTACTAATGTTTTTCCTTGAAATTAAAATATGAATATCATTAAAGTTTTTCTACTTAATTTGACTTTTAAGTGACAGAATTGTAATATTTACAGATATTCAAAGCTTACAGAGAAATAGAAGACTTGTATAAAAAATTAAATAAAAAATATCCAAAAGCTGGATTGCCTCCTGTACCAAAATCAAGCACTGCTGACAAATATACTTCTGATGAGAAGGTTCAAGCCCTTGATAATTTTTTTAATGCTTTATCTAAAAATATTGAAGTTATCCATTCTTCAGTATTCACACAGTTTATAGGTATGTGTTGTAATTTTTGTCTTCTATATATTTTGTTAATAATGTTACTAATGAAAAGCATTTCTGATTTACTTTTCAGCTGTAATGAAATTTGTATTATTTTTCATTTAAAGATTATTTAAAAAAGTATTTCTTAAAAATACATAACCTAAAAAGGTATTTCTAAAAATAGAGAAAACAAACAGCAGAGCAAAAATACGATGCTTTCATTGGAATTACAAACTATAGCTATTCTTTCGAACGACAGTATCGCGAAGCACGATCTCCTGATGACGACAACACTCACTGTTGCCAGAACTTATCTAAACTATATATTATATTATTATTATTTTTATTAACATACTTTAATACTTCCCCTTGTAAAAAATAATAATAATAATAAATTAAAAGAAAAGAGTCACAAAAAAGTCCCATCTTGTCATAAAGAATTAACAGTCTCGGTTTAAATAAAGGTTTAGTCATTATGTCAGCAACTTGCGCCTCTGTAGGTACCTGCTGCACAATGATTTCCTTTTCTAGAACTTTCTCTCGTATGAAAAAGTGCTTGATATCAATGTGTTTTGTGCGTCGATGAAACTCCGGGTTTTGTGACAGTCTCACTACAGCGGCGTTGTCTACTTGAATTACTGGAGTTTCACGTAACTTGGTTACATCACTAAATAGTTGCTTTAACCAAATTACTTCTCTAGAACATTCACTAGCTGCAATTACTTCTGCTTCAGTCGTCGAAGTTGCAACAACTGATTGCCTTTGGCTAATCCATGATATAGCTCCACCACTATATAATATCACTACTCCACTCGTTGATTTTCCTGTTTCTTGACAGCCTCCAAAATCTGCATTACTATAGCATTCTAGAATTCCTGGTTTGTATTTATTCTTGTATGTAACACCTTTAGTTAGAGAACCTGCTATGTATCTGAATACATGTTTCAGTTTTTTCCAATCATCTTTCGAAGGATTTTCTAGGTAACGTGATAGAATGCCAACACAGTAAGCTAAATCTGGTCTTGTGCCTAACATAAGATACATTAAAGCTCCTACAGCTTCTCTATAAGGAAAAATTCTCTGTTTGATTATCTTCCTTTTTCTTTCAGTTAGACCTTCCTTCAGGATAGGAGTTGACAATGGCTTGCAATCTTCCATCCCAAATTTTTGAAGAATTTTTCTTGCATAAGCTTGCTGACTAATTTTAATACTTCCATCTTCAAGATGTTAATTTCAAGTCCAAGAAAGTATACTGCTGGTTTAGTTGTGATTCTGAATCTCGACTTCAATTCTCTGAGAAATTTTTCAGATTCTTGTAGATCTGTTGATGCTACTAAAATCCATCTACATATAAACATAACATTCTTTTTTTTTTTTTTTTTTTTTTTTTTTTTTTTTTTTTTTTTCTTTTTTTTTTTTTTTTTTTTTTTTTTTTTTTTTTTGTTTTTTTTTACGATTAGCTTCTTGCCGTTATTGTTTCTTATATATAAGCATGGATCAGCTTCACTTGTCTTGAAGCCCAGCTGTGTCACAAAATCTCCAAAATATTTATTCCAGCAGCGTGATGATTGTTTAAGTCCATACAAACTGCGTTTCAACTTACAGACTTTCTTTGAACCGTCACTATATCCTTCTGGTGCTGCATGTATATAGATTCTTCAAGTTTTCCATATAAAAATGCTGTGAACCGACATCAAACTGAGAAAGATGCGTTTCTCATTGGCTGCGATGCTCAAAACTGAACGAATAGTTCCTAACTTTGTTACTAGACTAAAAACGTTTGATCATAATCAACTCCAAAACGTTGAGTACATCCTTTGGCAACAAGTCTAGCCTTGAATTTATCAATAGATCCATCATGATTTCTTTTGATCTTATAAACCCACTTGCATGGTATAGCTTTAGCATTTTTGGTAATTTTTCTAAACTCCATGTTTCATTCTCTATCAATGATTTCATCTCTGAATCCATAGCTTCTTTCCAATTAACACTTTGCTTACAGTTGATCGCTTCTTCATAAGATTCAGGTTCTTCAGAATCAATAATAAAAGCTTCACTTATCATTATATAATCTTCAAAACGCTTTGGCTTTCTCAAGTCAGCTCTATCTCTTAGGAATCTTGACTGTGCATTATTTTGCAAATTAATATCTTCACATTCTTCTCTTTCAGAATGTTCTTCTGATATATTTCCAGATATTTCTTTGTTGTACTCTTTTTCTGAATTATCTTCTTCACAAGAAACTTTTCTGACTTACTTATCTTTTTCTGAATTTTGTTGATGTTCAGAGCCAGAAAATTAGGCTATCTTGATCTTGAATAGGTAACTGCACCCTTTCTTCACAATCTGTGAGCTTTTCGTTAAATATAACATCCCGTGAACAGATCACACTATTGGTTTCTTTGATCCATAATCGGTATCTTTCGTCTCCATCATAACCAATTAAATAAGCTTTTGTAGCCTTATTATCCATTTTCCTTCTCCTTTGTTTAGGAATATGGGCATAGCACACAGATCCTACTATACGAAGATGCTTAATTCGAGGTTTCTTTTTAAACCATAGCTCATAAGGACTCATGCCTTCCACTGATGATTTGCCAGTTCTGTTTAGTACATATATGGCAGTGTTGACTAGTTCAGCCCACATTGCTGCAGGAAAATGAGCTTCAGAATTTGAGTACTTAAATGTTCTTGCCATTTCGATTATTGTATGTATGTCTCTTTCACTAGAGCCATTTTGTTCAGGAGAATAAGGTGCTCTTAGTCTTTGAGTTATACCTTCAGAATGCAAAATAGCACGCACTTTGTCATTGTCAAACTCGCCTCCATTATCGCTGAGAAATTCTTTGACTGGATGTCCTAAAATTTTAGCGTGTGCAAGCAATGTGTTGTAACATATTTACAACAGCAGATTTTTCCTTGATAAAAATACCCATAACGAAACTTTGTGTAGCTATCTTTAAACACAACTAAGTATCTTTTCTTCTGGAAAGATTCATCAAAAGGTCCACAGACATCAGCTGAAATTAATTCACCAGGCTTGCTGGCTGGCTTTCTTATGCCAAATGGTAAACGGTGTGCTTTGCCAAAAATGCATGGTTCACACAATTTTCTTTCAAATGGGATTTTAATTCCTAATTCTTTCTCAAGCATGTTCTTAATGTGACGTTTATCTTGATGTCCCATCTCTGATGATATAACTCTAACAAGGAATTGTCTGCTTCAGCAGCATGCACTTCTATAATTTTTTTATCAGGCATAATAGGGTTCGATAGCTGCCTTGTATAAAGTACCATATACTTTGCGAGTTCCAAAAAGCACTACTTGGACCATTAACCTTTAACCAGCATTCTGTAACGTGTTGAAATAAATTTACTATTCGGATTTCTATCTTGAGCAGCAAGTAAAGAAAATAAATTTCTGTTTATCTCAGGGAACATACCAAACATCTTTAAGGTAAATTCTTTGGATTTTACTACCAATAGTTGTTTTGACACATACTGTACCTTTACCAAGAGCAACTAAAGTTTCTTTTCCAGTAGCCTTGATGCTACAGGGACTATCAACTTCATAAAGTCAATAAAGTATGTGAAACAATTCATGTATGTCTTGTAGCTCCACTATCAATCCAAAAAGATGTTCGATCAGTCTTAGCCTCTTCGTCACTGGACATCAGTATTACACTGCCTGTATTTCCTCATTGGTTTCGTCAACCTATTCTTGGGTGGTCTTCCATCAGCAATCCACTGTTTACAATCTTTACCCAGTGTCCTTTTCTTTTGCAATAATTGCAAATATCTTCTTTTCTTGGTTTTCTTCTGAATTTGTCTTTTTTATATTGCTTTGTTTTTCAGATTTTGACATTACTAATGCCACTTGTTCATTGTATTGCCTTTCTCATGACTTTTAAATTCTCTTTCATGAGAGCAAAGCTGTGCTGTTAACTCATCAAACTGTTCTTTGTCTTCACCCAAGAGTAACCAACTTGACTAAAAACAAATGGTATTGTTCTGGTAAGACATCTAAAATCTTGCAATGAGTAGCATGTCAGGTAACTTATTTTCATTTTTCTTTTCAAGTTCCTGAATTCAACTCATTCCATAAGTTTTTTAATTTGGAAAGATGAGCGCCCATATTATCTTTTTCATTCCACTTGAATTGAAAAAATTGCATGCATATATTATACAATTGATTTTCTGATGATGCTTCAAATAACTTATGTAATTCCAACCACACTTCTCTAGCAGTCTGAAATCTCAAACTTTTTGCAGAGTTTCTTCCGTCAGGAATTCGTTAATACCATCATAGCACTAGTGTTTGCATTTTGAAATTTCTTAACAGCTTCATTATATTTCTCTTGTGAGCAATCGGAGCATCTACAGGAAGAACTTCTGGTTTCACTATAGTTCCTTCTACAATTTCTAAAGCACCAGGATGATAATTTAAAAACAAATTTTATCCTGTATTTCCATATAAGCCAATCGCTTTCACCTGATAAAGGCTTTACTTGGACCTTAGATAATTCCATACTTTGATTTCTAAACAACTTTCGATTGCTATAACGAAAACAAAACACTTACTTCATTAGGCTTAACGAGTTCCGTTTCTTCGACAAAACATCAATTCAAAACATTTGACGCAATATGGGAGTTTGCTGGGCCCATAACCTAAAAAAGTATTTCTTAAAAATACGTAACCTAAAAAGGTATTTCTAAAAATAGAGAAAACAAACAGCAGAGCAAAAATACGATGCTTTTATTGGAATTACAAACTATAGCTATTCTTTCGAACGACAGTATTGCGAAGCACGATCTCCTGATGACGACAACACTCACTGTTGCAGAACTTATCTAAACTATATATTATATTATTATTATTTTTATTAACATACTTTAATATTATTTTGTATCAATATGTTTTCTTTTGTAATTTTTTCATTTGAAGATTATTTTGTATCAATATGTTTTCTTTTGTAATTTTTTAATTTCAACATTTTAAACATCAAAACATTT